GGCGAAAGTTATTTCCGATGTTGGTGTGTTGATAGAAGAAATTTATGGAAACGTCTGTTTTATCTGGCGTTGCACTCTTGTTCTACGACGAGTTAATGTAATTGATTCTGTTATGCGTTCATGACGTTCGATTAATTTAACTACACTCGTTTCAAGAATTTTATTTGATTCGTTGCCAGTTTAATATGTTATATATTTTCTTTTTTTTCTTTTTTTTTAAATTGTATGTACAATCTGTTTTAAAAGTATATCCTAAATGATGCTACGTGATTTTTTATTATGAAGTATATTCTTGAACAATTAGATTATTATTATAAAATGAAATAATAAATATACAGGGTGTTAATATTATGTTCCTGGAATTCAAAAATTGATAAAATATCAAATATTATTTATTTAACAATCTATATTTAATTTATTTTGGTTTCTAGAATCTTGGTTTTCCAAAAAATATATCATAAATATATTAACACTTTGTTATATATATTTCAGAAATTAATATCGAATTATATATATTTTTTCTATTAAATAATATTAAGCAATAGATCAAATCAGTCATACATCTTATCAAATTGAAATTTATTTTATAATTTTGAACAATCGAACTTTAACTTCAATATAATGAAATAAAATATATGCATTAATTTTCCAATTTTTAAGTAACGTTTATAGATTTGACCTCCAAATATTATATTTATTGTTATTGCATTCACATATTATATTATCTAAAAGTTAAGGAAAAATTTTTAATAAAAAAGTATATGCATATTAAATTTATTTATTGCAGCTAAAGTTCGTCGAATAGTAAATATATATTTAAAAAACAAGACGACAAAATTTCAAATTAATAATTTTAAATTATTCAAAATCAAATCTTCGATTCGTCAAATAATTTTTTCCTTAATTAGAATAAATTTTAAACAAATTCCACCTATTAATATTTATCATAACGATCTTTCCGTTATATACACACAAGATTTTTTTTCGTTTTCAAACTTTTGAACGACACTGTACGTGCTTATCCCTACGCTCTCTTCATATCACGTTCAATATTACCTCTTAATTTAATGCATTTTTTCTCACGTATTGAAATTCGCATCAGTTTTATCCTAAAATCCACCACAGGCTCTCCGCCCTGTTAACCACGGGAATCAGAACGATCGGGGGTATTCGTCGTAACGTTATCCAACCCAGTAGCTATTAATTTCTCGGCACAGGGCTCGTTACGAATCGCAATTTACACGCGCGCCCGATGCTGATGCTCGTAAAATTATCCAGGATTTGTAAATCCTTGAAATTACGTTGTTACGTGTTCTTACACGGGACGATCCCCCCCCTCTCTTGCGCGCGTGTGCAGAGATATTTCACGTGTGACGCGTAATGAGTGAGCGAGCGAGAGTAAAGCTTAAAGACACCCCTCCTCCCAACACTCACCCCTACTCACCCTCCTCCCCTCCTCTCCCTCAAGCTGGTTGTGTGTTGGTCGTTCGCGGCGTGTCTTGATTTACGTGAGAGAGGCGTGCCTCTACGGAAGCCGCAATTAGTTTATTAATAATTAGTAAACGAGCCGCTGCCACCGCTCGAATGCGTCGTGAAGCGTCTCGAGAAGGGAAAAGGAAGGAGCGCGTGACAAACGTTAACGCTGGACGACAAAGGACGAGGAAGGTGCGGAGAGAAAGAGAGAAAGAGAGAGATAGGTGTTTGTCTTCGTTCGTTGAACGTTCGACTTTTGAAAATTGTATGATACCATAGCCTTTTTTCATTTCGTTGTTTGAAATCTTCGATACGATACGATTGAGAAGGGAATATTATATCGGTCGATTGATCGATGTTTTGCTATTTTATCGTTAATTTTTTTTGTCAACTGCGCATTTTTGAATAGGGGGGATAATGTGGAAAAGATTTTAAAACTTCTTTTATACGATATGTACTCGTATTGTAACATCAATAGAAAGATATTTGTTCAAAAGTGGAATTGTATATCTATTAGCTGTTTTTTTTTGTTGCTTAACTATTGTGATCTCGATCAAGTATATTATCATCGAACAATCTTTTATGTATTTTTAAACAATTATTGATATATTGTAAAACAGCAAACACGATATTTCAATTATTTCTTTTTATGTACAAAGTGTCTATCCTAATAATTATTTTTCTTTTAAGTCCTAATTCTTGAAATGAAATTCTGTCCTTTTCAAAATTATTGATATAAAATCAATGTATGAATTATTTACTGTTTTAATTAATGCGTTTACATTAAGCAATATAATTTTCGATTGAGCAAATCAATTAACCTCAAGTCGATCAAAATCACCTGTCTAAATTAAATTTCAATTAAATAAAATGACGATTGAATAATTCGATTTGCAAGTTATTTAATATGAATCTATCTTATGAATAATAAGAAAAAGAAATTACTAGAAATCTTATCAATCAAATCAATATCAATTATTGAAAAAAAGAAACAGTCATATATTTTGAAAATCATAGATTAGAAGAGAAATTAGGTACATTAAACTAACTAAAAAATTAACTTTGGTGGTGGAATGTTAAATTTAAAAATTTAGATTGACACAATTTCGAAATAAGTGTAGGATTAATACAACAGAGACCTAAATGCTACGAGTAACTCTAAATGGAATTTCAAAAATTTTATCGAACATGCAATTAATGAAATTAATTATTGAAATGATTACCAAAATAACACTTGAACCACAATAGCTAAAGAATTAATGCTAAGAATAGCCATATTGAAATATTGTTTCTATTAAATTTCGCGCAATTTCTAATTGAATTGTGAGAGCTAAGGATACTATACCGAGAACTGAAGATTTAATGAGAATAATCGTAGGTGGAATGGGGCGCATGGCCAGTGCACTGGAAAAAAAATGGCGCCCGAAATCGCGGGCGCGTGTCGAGCAGGATTGGTTTTTCATTGGAATTTCGCTGGGTCCTTAATGAAGATATTATCTTCGATAACTTTACGAAGGGCTAAATGACTGGATAATATTCGAGGTTGGGGCTGGTTCATCGATCTTGCCTCCCGGGACCGAGGAGGTGAAAGTAATTTGTCGAGTTAGCGTCTTTTTGTCCAGCCTCCAAAGCCACTGGACGTCGCTGAAAGCTGGTCGGGCGATACGCCATGAAAATTTCCTCGATGATTCTGCTCCGATGGTAACTCTCCTCTCTCCATGGATCGTTGCTCGTGCAATGCGGATAGACAAGTCTTCTGTTGTTAAAGCTGCTAGTCAATAACTTTCTTGCTTGTTCAACGTATGTAAACACGCGTAAAGGATGGATATTTTAGACGTTTTTCATTAATCCTTCTCATATATTGTTGATGAAGAGATAAGATCTTAATCGAGATAAAAGGAACGTGAATCGAAGGATACGTTGAAATTGGATAATCTTTCGCGATTATCGAAAGCACGATTGTCCATTGAAAGAGTGAAAATGATTTTTTAGACTATGTTATTTATTAGATTAATAATTTAATTTCTGATCGAATGAATTTTATTCAACTTTCTATACATAATATTTATAGTATAAGATAATCATGTGCAATTGTTATTTGTTATTATAAAGAGACAGATTCATTTGTGAACACAGAAATAATTCTCTGAGAGAAATTAAAGAAATTATTTATAAAATTATTGCCTTTTTTTTTTATGACTAACTATGCAAATTATTTCTTCTTTATTCCTAATATGTTAGTCACTTGGTAGTCAATGGGCGAACTTCATCCATACTTCTTTACTATGCAATATAAATTCTAAGAAATATTACATTTTTTTCTAAATCTCGTGTCTAATTCAAATCTTTACAATATCATGTAAAACAATCATCCAAAATATATATTTCATTTTTTGTTTCGAAATTCAATACTAATTTAATATTAAAATAATAGGAAAAGAACTTGAAAGAATATATATTAATTATTGGAAAAATATTAAGTATAATAATTAGTAGTAATTAGTAGTAATAATAACTCGCTTGTTTGTTTCAAGTTGACTGCAGAAAATAAAAGATCTGAGAACGAATGGGAGGTGAAATCGAACAGTCATAAATATTTACAGTCGAACGAGCAGTGACATTGTTTAATAAAAGCATGTATAATGTTTTCCTATTCTAATATTAGTGATTCTGACGTATATACATAATTTTGAAATAAGTAACTCAGTTCGGATTCAGCGATTGTTTATTATTTTTAAGGATAAATAGAATATGGACGATATTTTTATTTACAATTACATTTTTTCATATTCACCATATACACGTATAATTTACAATTCTGTTATATATTTATAAAATTATTTATATAATATCTATATAATTTACACTTCACTAATACTATTTACTTTTTCTACCATTATATACGTTTTTATATTACACTATATACAAATTGTTCTACCATTTATATACAATTACATTCCTTCAGAAGGAAAGTTCTCTTTTTATTTTCTTGTGGACTAATGAATTGTTAACGTGAAAAAAAAAAAAAAAAAAAAAAAGGAATATCAAACAAAATAGATTAATATTAATGAGATATGCGATAATAGTAACATTGATTGTACAAAAAGCAAAAGTAATTTATGCATATCGTAATACGAAGAATGAAAATATTTACTTTGCATTGTACGATCCCATTTTGATGTTGAAAATTTCAGTAATGAATTTATTCTGCAAATAAAAAGCGAATTATTAATATATTACGTACATACGCGTAATTCAAATTTATATATAAACGTGATACAATTTTGTTTCAAAATAAGCAACTCGTTTGAAAACAGTTGCTTATTACGGATCAGATGTATATGTTTATATTTTATATATTTCAAATCTGTTAATTCAATAATTCTTTTTTTTTTTTAATACTCGTTTCAAAAAAATCTGACAACAATAAATTTGACGGATAATATAATTGTATCGATATATCGCTAACTGATTATACAAATAACAAAAATAGAATAAGGTATAAAGACAATGAAAATCTCACTTTCTTAACCTTCAAAAATAGTACCTTTATTTTCAAGAATTCTTCTTATAGTTTTACCCATTATTATTACAGTCTCATCATCGTCGGCATACTTTTTTATAATTTGTTCCAGCGTATTTAAATCTCCTTTCTTCTTTTCTATAAAGTTTAATTTTGAATTTTGAATCAACTGCTCTTCATATTTCCTTTTTTTCCCTTCTTGGAGCATCCGCTCTTTCTTTAATTTTTTTTCAAATTCCATATATTCTGCGTCTATTTTCCTTTGTTCCTCTTCTATTTTCTCCTCTTCCTCTTTACTGTTTACTGTCGTTGAATTATTTACGAATATTCTTGCAGCTTTATCCTCATTAGCTTTTTGTCTATAAGACTGGGCCATGTAGCGATTTTTAATAATCCGTAGCCAATTTCTGCTACCAAAGAATAATGTCGATCCGTATCCGTCACAAATCTTTATCGCCTTTTCTTGTTGCGACGAATTGGTCAATGGATTCCCAACTGTTTGTTGCTGCCACGTGTGTAAACACTTTTCCACGTCTTCGTTCAAAAGTCCTTTACGATTTTTATATTGCATGTGCTCTCCTCTATTTCCAAAATTCGATAAAAAATCGTACTCTCCGCGTATCATATCTCGCGAAATCCCGTATTCATGACTCATTTTCATAGATGCACTCGTCTCAATCGTCATCTTATCTTGTATCGATTGAAACACTTTTCTCTTGTTTTGGTTTCTCATCATGATTACAGAAAACATTACACTTTTTTAAAACTGGTCTAGATTTCGCGTACCGTTTTACTTGATCGCTGGTTGTCCAAAGACTGGCTAAAATTCAGAATTGTACGAATATTTATACCGACACTACAGGTAAAAATATTTCGATACTTTGGATAATGGCTTCAAGGGACAATTTCTATTTCTGAAAATCCTTAATCCTTAATCCCTACTGATCCAGGTAAAAATATTAGGATAATGATATCCAGCAATAATTTTTACGAAAATCCTTAATCTATTAGACCCTTAGCCTAAGCTATTAGATGCAATGTAAATGTTGTGTATTTAAGTGTATGAAAAGTTTGTTTAAATTTTTTTTCGTATTAGTAAATGTACGGGATGAACGATTATTTGAAACATCTCGTTTATTTTCAATAATGTTAAATAGAAAATATTTTAGATGAAAAAGGATACAATTTAATATTGTTAACTTTGTGAATGGATAAATGGAAATTAAATTTTCTGATAACTCGTGTAATCAGAATCAATAATTCTGTTTCATGAAATCTTATGAATATGCAGATCATAGTAAGTTATATGTAGAATAATTTTTTTTATTAATGGAATATTTACTTTCAATCTTTAATATTATTTTCATTTTTTAAATATAATTTTTTAATGGTAGAAGATAGAAGAAAATATTAAACTGTAAAATATTTAAATTTTAATATTCTATTGGTAAAAATTTTAAAATTGATTTTACACATTTAAGATTTTTTTTTAAAAATAAGTTGCAAAAAACTTTCATTAAAATTAAAATGCATAGATTTTCTTATATGAAAATTTTTGCTACATAATTAAAACTATATGTATATATACTTTTGTAAAATAATATTAATAATATTATAATTCTCTATAATAATAATAGTCTGGGTTGAAATAGGGAAGCCACCATTTCTTTGTTTGAAATTGTAAAGTGAGAGATCCAAAAATGAATGAGAGGTCCATAAAAGGGAAAATAAATTTTTATACCTGTTCAAAATCGTTTGCTGACTTTGAGTCAGCAAGCTTGAGTGACATGTCATTCTATTCTTTTCTAAAGAATAATATTGTTCTTTAGTCGATTATTTTATGATTTATTTCTTGCACATTTTTCATTCCATTTGAGAATAAAGAGCAATACTGCATTTCAAATTCTGAGTCATTTTCAAATTTAAGGTTTATTTGTTATTGATTTAATTTAACAATAATGTTAAAAAATAATTGTTTTTTTGTTAACAATAAACCACAATTTATTGATTTATTGTTATTCTTTTTTGTTAAATGTAAGAAACAGATAAGATCATCATCTTTAACATTCAAAATAATAAATCGTTTCTTATTGATATTCATACCTAATTTATGCGATGTAGAATTTTTTCATAAATATATATTTACAAATTTCTTAAATAACTTGCCATTCACACATCTAAACTCTATCAATCTTAATCATTAGATTTTTGAAAAAATAGATACAAATTATATTTACACTTAATTTCACAGTTTTCAGAAAATAGAATTCATTAATTTAACTTCTGAGCAATTTATACGAAGTACATAATATATTCACTAGACACCTCGATGAATTCTAAATATCAAAATGAATACAAAAGTTGGTCTACAAATATGTTGATTAAATTATGAGCAAATTGAAATTCATATAAGACAAAGAATAAGTCGTCTATCTCCGTCACATTGCTCTTACAATGCTCTCTCTTTGTCTTTGTCTCTCGTTTTATTTAGTGCAAAATTAATTGCTTGCAACTTAATAATAAATAAATCTTAACTGTAATTTTTACATTACTTTTATCTTTATGATCTTTCAAAAGATCATTATCCCATTATATAGCATAACACTTTAAATAATCCTATATAATATTTCCAAATGTATAATAACAATATTTCACCGTTTTACTAAAAACTAAAAATTACTGTCACAAAAACTTTCCCGTAAAACCGAGCAAAAAGAAAGAAAGAAAAACAACAAAGTGACAAAAGTAAAAGGAAGAGGGGGGGGGGGAGGAAAAATAAGAAAAAGGAGGAGGGCTAACAAAAAAGGGGATGAAAATAACTGAAGTGTCGTCTCCCTCCCTGTTACTTTGTCGCCATCCTTCGCCGAGAGAAGGGCGATGACAACCGGTTGTCATCTCTTCAACGTTCGCCCTCTCTTCCGCCGAGTTTTATTCATAGCACGCCGCGTTGCTAATAAAAAAGTGCGCATAGGGACATTAAAGTCTCGGCGGGGCCAGGTTGGCCGGCCTGGCTCGTGGTTTCGGTGTTGGCTCGCGGAAGCTCGCCTCCGTGGGCGTCCTTGCGATATACTTTGCGCAAGCCACGTTAACAAGGTATGCATTGTATCGCCAAAGCGTAGCAAGGATATTTACTTGTGTACACACGCACGTGACCCGTAGCCGGCTCTCGTAAAAAGGGTCGGCTCGTACATATTTATTCCTTTTTTCTCTCCACCCGCTTAGTTACCTTGAGCTTCGTGCCTGCTCAGTCATCTTCCAACGACGTTTGGGCCTTGGCCGAAGCATCATACACCGTTATACGGGACGAAAGTGGCGGTATTATGTGCCGACTAACTCGAATCGAGTGCGGTTTACGATCGGTTTATTCGTCTACCGCTCGTGAGCAGCAGTTTCAACGAGGTCGAGGGACAATGTGTTTCGCTTGGAAATTCTTACACCCTGTTGAAAACTGTCGTTTCATAGGTGGTGAAAAGTCGTGGATCTGAATAATTGCGTTCGCTTTGATCGTTTGGATTATTAAGGGATTTTTGTTAATTTTTTTTTTTTTTTTTTAATTATCGGATGCCCTTTAATTTCATCGGAAAAGGATACATAGTTTTAATTTAATTCGAAGGTAGATATTATAATTTATGAGAAAAATTAGATGTGAAAGTTTGAATGAAGAAGCAAGAGGCATTTGTAAATTGGAAGAAAGTTGTAATAATGTATTTACGATTACGTAAAGAAAAAGAGTAAACTAATTGTTGAGATATATCTTATTTATAATTTAACATTAATCGTTCTATTTGCAATGGAGAATTCAAATAACAAAAGCAAAATGTTTTAAGACTTTCCTTTTAGAAAATATTTTTTTTTTAGAAATTATTAGATACAATTTTACTTTTATCAACAAAAATTTTCCATTCGCTTTAAAACTTTCGAAAATTTATTATTTTATGCTTAAATCAAGTATTGGAGAGTATGGCGAAAGCCATTCGATATATTTTCGTTCAGGAACATTTTCTTCTCGATAAATAATAATCGTTTATTTACAATGACATGAAAATTAAAATTTGTTGTTTTTTAATTATCATTGAATAATATATAAAAAAGAATCTATAGATTGTCTATGTTATGTCGTACGACATATCGATTTATAACAAAAACACATTAATAAAAGAAAAAGAAAAGTATTGAAGTAATCATAAAAAATTGTATTTTCCACGATACGATTAGCTCATCGATTTTGGATTTAAGAAAAAATTAATTAAGTATAATTAACCACGGCCACGAATTAATCGCGGTTTATAAAAGTTGGCGAGTAGTTTTAATAAGAGGGGGAATATTAATTTAAAGGACGAGCATCGAGCAGACCGCGTAAACTGCTTACATGGACATAGACGAAGAAGGCGAAGAAGGACGAGGCCAGGATATGCAGATGAAAGAAAACTCGTTACAGAATGACAAGTGCCCGTTGCGTTCTCATAATTATCACATCCGACGTAATTACAGAGAGAACGTGCCTTATCCTAACTCCGAGACCATAAACGACTCCCAACGTGTACTCGTCTTCTTTTGTGCGAGAACCCTGGTTTAAATATCGGGCAGCCGACGAAAGAACCGTCTCAAGGATAGTTAAGCCCACGAAATTTCGTAAACGACTGTCTAAGGTTTCAACGTTTTGCACGAAAAAGATTCGTTTTTCGTTTGGTCGAGAAAATGCTTTAGTAGAAAATTTGAACCAGTTGGCGATAATAATGATACATTTAATTTGTTTATAATTTTATTAATTTAACGATCTAATTATCTATAATTTTTTTTCTATGTTTAATAAATTATCGAATATAATTCATTTATATTTGAGTTTTTAAAAGTTAGGTTATGTAACCTTATATGGAAAACAATTTTTTTTTCTTCTTTAAAAGAAATGCTTTTATAAAATTTTAATTAATCAACGAGTACTACTAATGATATAGCGTAAATCATTTCTATATGAGATTTCGAATGTTAAATTATAACAATTTTATACAAAAATAATTTATTTTTGTATTTTAATATTAGTGAAGAAACGCTTTGATAAAATTTTAATAGATTAATTGATGATATATAACTCATAACTCATTTGTATTTAAATTTTTGAAAATTGAATTACGTAATATTTTTTAGTTTAATATTTATCAATCCTTGATATTAATTACAATATTACAAATTATACCAAAAATTATCAAAATCGATAAAATCTCCTTTTCTCAAAATAATTACTTATAATAAAATTCAGTGAATTTTATTGCATTCTTTTTTTTTTACAAAAATTGTTACTAAATATTCTCTCTAACGTTTCAAAGTAAAAATTCCTCTCCAGATCATCTTAAACAATCTTGAAAATCTCTTATCAACGTTACTCGAGCAAAATCCGTTCCATCTCGATATTCGTAAGAATCGATAGGAGGATCAATGATTAGAACACGGCGCGCTTACTGTCGACCATAGCGCTCACTTTTCCATTGTCACGGACCGGTTCGCAGCACGTGGTTCGACGATCTCTTTGAAATCGAATTAGTTCCGATCCGAGCGGACAGATACACCTCGGCCGATATCGTCGGTCTCTGTATAACCGCTTGTGATATAATGCTATGCCGAATCGCTTCGTCATTCGACGGTCATAATGCCGCGTTATTAGGCTCGATCGGTTCTCAATCGGCCAATTAAACCGACAAACGAGGGCTTGACAGTTTGTCCTTTCATTGCTAGTTACATATTTGCTTTGTGCAT